CCGGGGATCCACGCGGAGACGGGAGAGAGGGACGCAGAGGCGGGGAAGGAGGCGAAGAAGAGGGTCCCCGGCAGGGGTTTGGGTGTGGGCCGCAGGGGGGGCAGCGCTCGGCGTGGGCTGGGGCTGGAGGGCGGCAGTTGGAAGCGTGGCCGTGAACGCAACAACAGGCGGGCCGGTCGAGCGCTGCGGGCGCGTTCAGGCCCGTTCCGGCGCACCGTCTGCGAGGTCGAACATGCACTCATACTGGATCTCAAACTGCAGCGGGTTGGTGACTTTGGAGGGGTTGTCCAGCACGTTCACGCTCGTCACCGAGATGGCCGTCATTGCTGCCGCCGTCTGCTGCGCCGGGCGGGGCTGCCCCGGCGTGGGCGCTGCTGCAGGAGCCTGAGCAAGACGCGGCTGCGGCCGTGGGGTTGCAGGGGCCGGTGAAGAGTTTGAGCTTGCGGCGATCACGACGCTGGGGAAGGCAGCAGCAGGCAGACAGCCAGCAGGGAGCGGGGGCAGCGAGCAAGGTGAGAAAGAGGAGCGAAGGCTCAGGCGGTGAAGGCTAAGCTGGCGTGCGGAGACTGCTGCGCTCACAAAAGTTGGGCGCCGGTGGAATGCCTCCCGGCCCCTCCCTTGATCCTGGGGGATGGCGGTTGGCTTGAAACCGCCCCGAGACCAGCTGCCGACAGCCAGGACATCGCCTGTGCCACCTTCTGCTCTCGGCAGCCGCCGCCCACGCTCGCCGCAACCACCAACAGTCCCTTTTGCGGGCTTGGAGGACAGGAATTACAGCGTGGTGGCAGATGGTTAGCTTCCCAAACACCATCAGCAGCTGCATCCCTTGCGGGAGGCCTGCCGGCAGTCAGAGGAAGGCGCGGCGCCGCGCCGTCTTCCCGGGCACCTTCTCCTGCTCAATCAGCCGCTGGTAGGCTGCATGGATGTGTGCTGGCTGCAGCGGCGTGGTCTCCCCCCGCTCTGCCGCCACTCCTATCGCTGCAGGACAAGGAGGGGCAGTTGGGAAGCAGGTCGCCTCGATGAAGGTACCCAATCCAGCTGGTCCGAGGTGCTGGCAGCGAAGCATTGCTAGCTTTCGCTTTCTGGCTCTGATTCCGGCAGCGCCATCTTCATGGCATGAGAGCGCAGCGGATCAGCCAGCACTGCAGCTTCGTTGCCACACCCACAACCACCGCTCCTGCTGATGTCAACAGGCTGCTGCTCGCGGCCAGGCGAGCTCCCCCTCCCCACTCTTCCACCCGCACCCCACCGCAGCCACCCACCCGCGGCCACCAGGTCGTCCACAAAGCTCTTGGTCACGCTGCTGAGCGCGATGAGCGCCTTGGCGTTGGGCGCGCCCCCCAGGGTCTTGATCATCAGCAGCTGCACGGCGTGTGGGGCGCGTGCGGCGGGCATGGTGGGTACTCAGAGCAGTCCCGTTGAAGAGGAGAGGCGGCACTGGTGACTTGGGGGTGTCGCGCGCATGCCGAGCAACATGATGCCTTGGCACCTGCCGCCCCACGCTCGCGGCTGCGACTGCCAACGAGCTGCCCTGCTGGCAGCTCGCTGCCGCTGCTGCTGCTCACCCGGCAGCCCCACCTGTATGCCCTTCTTCAGGCTGGAGCGGCGGAAGGCGGAGTAGCGGTCCAGCTGCTGCTCGGTGAGGATCTCGTTGACCAGGCTGCCAGGCGGGGTGGGGAGAGAGGCAGGGGGGGTTCTGAGTAAATGCCGTAGGGAGAGCAGCGCAGGGCAGGTAGTCTATGGGCAGCCAGGGCCAGCATTGAAGCACCCAGCCAGTTGCGCTCGCATTGAAGCCATGCAGCGCAGCGAGGCAGGTGCGCCCAACTCACTTGTTGTAGCGCTGGTGCTGCTTGGCGGTCAGCCGGTCCAGGTCTATGAAGCCTTCGTCTGTGAGCGGCAGCTCCTCGTCCTCCCGCTGCAGCGCCGTGGTGGCCGTGGTGGCGGCGCGTGCGGCGTCTTGGAGGGCGGCCCCCGCCGGCAGCTGCGCGTCGCCAGCCTGCTGCTGCCGCGGCTCGCCGCCTGGCTGCTGCTGCTGCTGCTGCTGCTGCTGCTCCTCGTCTGCGTCCTCCAGCTCTGCCTCCAGCGCCAGCTCAAGCTCGTCCTCCTCATTCAACACTTCGTCGGCGCCAGCAGGGCCGGGAGCAGCGGCGGCGGCGGCGGCGACGGCTTGCTGCTGCCCCAGCGTCTCTGGCGCAAACCCGGCTTCCAGATCGGGCATATCCATATCGTCCGCCATGGCTGCGGCCTCTACGGCACCAGCAGGGCCCGAAAGGAGGAGTTGCGGAGGGAGGCCTGCGAGGGTCTAGGCGGGTGCTGGGGGGGGAATCTGGGTGCTACCAAGGTGCCTGGATGAAAGCAAATTGCCCGGAAGGCGCAGCCTGGCGCCCATGCACTCCGTGTTTTCTTCGAGTCCTGCTGGCAGCGTTCTCCGCGTGCTTGATCAGGCGGTCTGATAGCGAAGTCTTGCAAGCCAACAAGCCCTGAAGCGCACAGCTCTGCACTATGCCAGTCCCTGCGGATGATCCCCGCCTTGGCCGCTGCGGCTTTGCCAAGCTGGTGGGCAACGGCGGCAAGCTGAACTACATCATGCGCACATACGAGGTGCTGCTGGGGCGGCACAGCAAGACCAAACAGGTGGACGTGCCGCTCGCCGAGCACAAGGCCGTCTCCCGCGAGCACGCCTACATCCGCTACAACTTCGACAAGAGTGAGCGCAGGCGCAAGCCCTGAGGAGCGCCGCAGCGACTGTGGCGCGTTGTTGCCCGCGCCGCCGCCGCCACGCTCCGCTCGTGCGTTGCGTTTCGAGCGTTGCTGCCTGGCCCTCCTGCTCCTCCTCCCCCCCGCCTGCAGAGCACTTCGAGCTGGAGGTGGTGGGCAAGAACGGGGTGAAGGTCAACGGCGAGGACCACAAGCCCGGGGCGCCCAACACCCCCGGCCCCATCCCGCTCGCCTCCCAGGCCCACCTCCAGATCGGCGAGGACCTCACCTTCTTCTTCCTGCTGCCCAAGCCGCCCCGCGAGGTGGCCACCGCCTCGCGCAAGCGCAAGCTCGGGTGCGCACGGGTTGCATGGGCACGCGCGCCTGTGGCAGGCGGGCAGTCTGTGGTGGTGGTGGTGGTGGTGGAGGTATCGCAGAGGACGGCACAGGCAGCTGGTGGAGGCCTGCAGCTGAGGGTGTCCATGGCAACCCGGCAGCGTGCTTGCCGCCCATACCCCTGGCCTCACCTGCCCGCACGCCCGCCTGGCCGCCTGCCTGCCCGCAGGTCCATGGCGCTGCCGCCACACATGGCCCAACACATGGCGCCGGCGCTGAAGCGCAGCGACACCGCGTCGTCCCGCCCCGCCTCTGCTGGCGCAGCAGCTGCGGCGGCGCCCCCACCGGACGTCATGCAGATGTTCACGCAGGCCGTGCAGCCCGCGCAGCAGCAGCAGCAGCCCAGGCCGCTGGCGCAGCACGCCGCGGCGCAGCAGCAGGCGGCCATCGCGCGGCTGCTGCAGGCGCAGCAGGCGGCGAGGCTGCAGCAGCAGGCACAGCAGCAGCAGGCGGCAGCAGCAGCCGAGCCCGCCGCCGCAGGCCCGGCCGCGCCCGCCGCCCCGGCAGCCGCAGCCGCCGTGCCGAAGCCGGCCAGCGGGGCGGCCGCGGCACCTGCAGTTGGGGCCGCAGCGCCTGGAGCCACTGTGAGAGTTGCTGCCGCGCATTTGCCATGCTGCCGCATCATCCTGCCACGTGTGCATGTCGTGCCACCAAGGCTGGCCCACTCGGGTGGCCCTGGCAGCTTTGCACTCCTCTCAACCCGTTGCCGCCACTGCTGCTGCCGTCCTTGCTGCCGCAGGCCGACACTCTGGCCGCGGCTCAGCAGCAGGTGCTGAGCTCTCTGATGGCCAACCCGGCGCATCTGCAGCAGCTGCTGGCCGTGTCCCTGCAGCAGCAGCAGGCCAGGCAGGGGGCTGGCGCCGCCGCCGCGGCAGCGCCCGTCGCTCCGGCGGGCGTTTCCCTCGCGGCGGTGTCGGCCTTGCAGCAGCAGCAGATGGCGGCAGTGCAGATGAGGCAGGCGCAAGCGGCCCAGGCGGCTCAGGCTCAGCAGCAGCAGCAGCAGGCTGCCGCGGCAGCTGCTGCGGCGCAGCAGGCGCAGGGCGTGCAGGGTGCGCAGCTGACGCCGGCTCAGGTGCTGCAGATGCAGATGCAGATGCAGTTGCAGATGCAGCGCATGGCGGGCATGCAGCCTGGCGCCCAGCCGCCGCGTTGACCATGTCGAGGCGGCGGCGATGCCTAGTGCGGGAGAGGCTCTTCCTTTGTGGCGTACTGAGCACCTCCTCTCCCTCCCTTTATGCTGTTTGAAGTGTCTGTAACAGAATGTCCGCTTTCAGAGGGAATGTTGCCCCTGGAGGGAACGAACTTGAGGCGCAGGTGCTGACTAGGCGGCGGGGTGGCGGCAGAACCGTCCCTTCCTCCAGGCCTCCCTCTCTTTGCACTGATCGCCTCTGCCGACCCTGTTGACAGCAATTCGATCGCACCGCAAGCTGCTGTGACGGCGTGCTGACTTTGAGAAGGTTCGGAACGATGCACGGCCTGCAGGCCTCCGCGCTGGTGGCGTTGGTCGGAGCGGCTGCCGCTGTGTGGTTCAGGCGGTCCAAGCGGCAAGGCGGCACCAGCGGTGCCGCAGCGGCGGGCGGCGGCGGTTCAGCGCCGTCGGCGGGCCGCGCGCTCCCGCCGTCCCAGCACCCAGCAAAGGCGGCTGCCACCTCGCCGAAACCTGATGGCGCTCAGCCACAAGCTGAAGTTGGTAGGCAGCAGCAGCAGCAGCAGCAGCAGGAGCGGGAGCTGGAGGCCCAGGCACGGCAGGCGGCGGCGGCGGCTCGAGCTGCTTCCCCCCTGTACCGTGCCACCGCCAACGAGGCCCTCGTCCACGGCTGGCTGCTGAGCGGGCAGGAGGGCGGCATCCCCTCGCTGCCGCCCCTGGAGCCCGCAGGCGGCGCGCAGGCGCCGGCGCGCATGGCGGCGGGCCACGCGCCCCCCGCTGGCCTGGCAGGCAGGCAGCCCCCGCCAGCCGCGGCCCCCTTTGCCGGCGACGAGGCGGATGAGGGGCAGGAGGTGGAGGCTGAGGTGCAGCGGGCGGTGCGGGAGGTCGCGGAGCGCGCTTTCTTCGACGCCCTGGTGGATGGGCTGCGCCGCGGGGACGCCGCGCGCCTGGCGGCGCTGCTGCTGGACGCTCGCGACCAGCTGGCGGCGCTGTGCGGCGGCGGCGGCAGCGGGGAGGGGCGGGGGCTGCTGGGGGAGCTACAGGAGAAGCTGGACACGGTGCGGTGGGTAGGGGGCTGGGTGGGTGGCTGGGCGGGTGGGTGCTTGCCTCCTTTCCAAGCACACGGCAGCCGCCGTGCCTGCCTCCTGCAGGCACCAGGCCCGCCTGCTGCCGTGCCCGCCTGCCTCCCTGCCCCATCCTGCCCTCCTGCTGCTGCCCGACCCCGCCCCTTGCGCGGTCGCCGGCCGCCCCTGCAGGAGTGTGCGGCAGCGGCTGCAGCGGTACGATGCGGCGTACTGCGCGCAGGCCTTTGACCTGCTGTGCCACGCCATAGGCCGCCTGCAGGCGCCCGCGCGGCGCCAGCACACGCGGCAGGCATACGCCGAGGTGGCAAAGCTCTTTGCGGCGGCAGACGGCGGCGGCGGCGGCGCCTACCCTGGCAGCGCCCCGCCTGCCGCCGCTCCGCCGGGCGCGGGGGAAGCGGCGGAGCAGCGGGTGCAGCTGGTGCTGGCGAGCGGCGGCGGCGAGGGCGGCGTGTCGGTGGGGCTTCGGCTGGCGGCGGGCGCTGCGGAGGGTGCTGCGGGTGAGCGCCCAGAGGGGGCGGTGCAGTGGCAGCTCAGCCTGCGCCCTGATGCCAGCGGCGACGGTGGTGTTGTCGCCATGCTCAGCCCTGCGCTGCCGCCCAGCGTCGAGCGGGGCGCCGCAGCGCCAGCGGTGGCGGCGACGGCGGCAGCGGGAGCCGCGCCCGGCGGCCCCGCCGCCCCCGCCGCCCCTCCCGGCGCGGTGGTCGGCGAGGCCAGCGTGACGGCGGCGGTGGCGGCGGCGCGCTTCCTGCTGCACCAGCTGGAGGAGCTGCGCGGGGATGTGGCCCGGGCGCGGCTGGCTATGCTGAGAGGTGCGCCCGGTAGCCACGGGTGCAGCCGACAGTCGACAGTCGATCCTTGCCTGGCGGCCAGCTTAGTCGATCCGCAGCGCCGCTCCCCAGCCAGCGGCAGCGGCTCGCCCCGACAGCAGCCACCCCCGTGGGCTGCTCCCTGACCTGCTGTGCCTGCCGCCCACCATCCCGCCGCCTGCGCCCTGCAGAGGCGGTGCTGGGCGGCAGCGGCGGCGTGGAGTACGAGCGGGCGCGGTACGAGCGGGCGCTGGCGGCGGCCGCAGGCGGCGGCGCCAGCGGCAGCGGCGGCGGCGGCGGTGCCAGCCCCACCCCTCAGGCTGCGGCCCAGGCGTTCCCCGTCACACTCACCTGGCTGAAGCAGGTGCTTCAAGAGGTGAGCGCCCCGACCTTGTTAGTGCTGCGCTGCCACGGCTCGCTGAGCTGGCGCCAGCTGCCCCTGTTGCCTCCCCCCTGGGGCCCAGCGGCGCCTGCCACGCCAGGCCGCGCATGACGCAGCCCAGCCCCCGGCGGGCCCTCTGCGTGTCGCAGGCGCCGCCGCCGTCCAACCTGCGGGGCGACGCCTACTGCCGCGCCTGCGTGGGCGCGGGCCTGCTGCAGCTGGCGCAGCTGCCGCACGCCGTCCCCGCCGACCTCTGCCCAGGCAAGGAGGCCGGAAAGGGCCCACGCCTTTGCGCTGCCGCGGCTGCGTGTCCCTCGCGCCGCTGCCGCGTCCGACCCGCGCCCCCGCCTCCACCGCCGCTCCTGCTCACGCCGCCGACTCCTCTCTTCCCTGTGCCGTCACCTTTCTTCCTTGCGCTGCTGCAGAGGTGCTGCTTCTGGACCTGCGCGGCATAGTGGCCCTGCAGAACGAGCTGCAGCGCCTCTGCCTGCTGGCCGCCTCGCTGCTGATCGTACAACAGGTGGGGGCGGGGCTGGGGCCGGGGCGGCCGCGCGCCAGCCGCCCGCACGCAGCAGCCACAGCATCCTCTCGCGCCCTGCGCCTTGCGCATGTGCGCTTGGTCGCATGCTCGCCGCACTGGACGGCGATCACTCCCCGCCCCCGCCTGCCGCCCCCGCGCCGCAGGTCCTGGCCTCGCGGCATGCGCTGCCCGCGGCGGGGTCCCCGCGCCACGCCGCGCTGTGCGAGCGCGTGGTGGGCCGCATGGGCGCGCTGCTGTCTGGCGGGGCTGGCATGGAGGGGCTGGTGCTGGAGCTGCACCGCCAGGTGGAGGAGGCGCTGGCGCAGCAGGCGCAGCAGGCGCCAGCTCAGCGGCCAGAGGGAGGCGAGCAGGCGCGGGGCAGCCCAGAGCAGCGGGGCGAGCAGCGGGGGCAGCAGGAGGAGCAGGGGCTGGGGCAGGGGCAGGGGCAGGGCCAGGGGCAGGCGGGCCTGGATGTGGCTGTGGTGCGCCGCATGGTGCGCCGCATCTTCTCAACAGAGGATGCCGTCTACCGGCGGGTGCAGGCGGGCGTGCTGGCCTCCGCCACCTCCCTGCTCAACAGCGCCGGCACCAGCAACGGCAGCAGCGGGGGGGGCAGCCCCGCGGCGCCCGCCTGGCGCCGCGTGCTGCGCGGCGTGGGGGCGGAGGCGGTGGCGGGGGACGTGTACCGCCTGGCCGCTCGGGTGTACCGCATCGCCGCCGTCAGCACCGCGGTGGCCGAGCCGCTTGTGTACGCCCCGCTGCTGCAGCAGCTGCGCCAGCACCAGTGAGCGTGGCTGGCGGGCAGCCGGTCACAGGTGCAGGGCAGAGTGGCGGGGTGGCAGCTGGGCCATGCCCAAGGGGACTGCAGATTCTCTTTCTGCTGGATGCTCCTGGATGCTCCTGGACGCCGGTGCCTACTTTCCGATCACCAATGTCCTCCAATGATCCAATTGTGGATTGCCACCACCATGCCATGCACTAGTCCTCCCGCTGGCTGACCGGAATGGCACCACCCCATTGGCCACACCTGTGCCTGCGCTCCCTTGCCTCATCCTCTCACTGCACAGTTGTCTCGCTCTCTGTTTGCAACAGCGGCACACATCTACTAGCCGTGCATGAAGCGCAGCGTGCAGGTCAGTCCAGCCACTCTATGTGCACCGCGCAGGGCTGCAGGGGGGCCGCCAGGTCCAGAACCTCGCGCACCACCGCCAGCGGGAGCAGCTGCAGCAGGCTGCAGCGCCCCAGCCGCGGGTGCAGCCCCAGCAGCACCTGGGCCCGCACCGCCGCCGCCGCCGCCGCCGCCGCCGCCTGCAGCTGCCGCAGGTACGCCTCGGTGGCGTCCCGCAGGCAGCCGGGCAGCGCGAGGCGCAGGTCGCGCAGGGGGACGCTGCTGCCCAGCAGGTCCCGCAGCGCGGGCAGCGCGTGCTGCCACGCGCGCTGCCACAGGTGCGCCAGGCGGGCGTCGTCGTCGCCGCCGCCGCCCGGCAGCCGCAGCCGCAGGGAGGCCAGGCGGCCGCGCCGCAGCGCGCACAGCACCAGCGGCACCGCGGCTGCCAGGCCGGCGTGCTGCGAGCGGGGGGCGTCTGCGGGCGGCGAGCACGCTATGCTGACCAGCTCGGCGTCGCCCCAGCGCCCCGCCACCACCCAGTGAGCCGCCACCGCAAGCTGCGCCCCTGTGCTGCACTCGAAGCAAGCGGCCCCAGGGGCGGCTGTGCCGGGCACGGGCGGCGCTCGCACCTCGCCTCCCACCCGCCGGGCGGCCTGCTGGAGGCAGGAGGCGAGCAGGCGCTCCTCGAACCCTGCGCCGGCAGCGCTGTACACTGCAGGACGGCACGTCGGGCATCGTGGGCGGCGCTTCAGCTCGCGGCCGCGGCTCTCCAGCAAGCATGCAGAGAGAGCGAGATAACAGCATGACCTGTCACCCGGGCATCCACTGGGCCGCACACCCAGCCAGCCGCCGCCACCCCAGCCCACTCACGCTGCCCCACGCCCAGCCAGCCGCCGCCACCTCAGCCCACTCACGCTGCCCCACGCCGAACATGTTGAGTAGCTGCTTGAGGGCCTGGGTGCGCAGGCGCCGCGCCGCCTGCAGCAGCTCTGGCGACGGCGGCGGCGCGGCCTGCTGCTGCTGCGCCGCGCCGCTGGACGGCTGCGCCAGGCCAAAGTCCGCTGCCGCCCTGCCCACCAGCCGCTGCGCCGCCTCTGGAGAGTCTGCACCCTCGCAAGCCACACACAGGGCAGAGGCGGGCAGCACAGAACAGGGCAATGAGTCGAGTGACGTCCAACGAGACGTGAGCAGGAACGGGGTGGGCACAGGTGGGCAGTGAGGCACAGCCATGGGCGCCGCACCTGGCGGGCTCTCAAACGCCGACAGCACCAGGCGGTTGCGCTCGCCGTGCACCCGCAGGCTGAGCAGCTGGCGGCGGTGGCGGATGCCAGCGGTGTGTACCTGCGGCGGGGTGGCGGAGAGTGAGCGCTACTCAAAGCATGTAGAGAGAGCGGCAGCGCAACGGAGGCAGCCCAGCGGCAGCCGCACCTCCCAGTCTCCTGCCCGTCTCGGCACCCACACGTCGCACGCCTGGCAGTGCGCCACCCGGGCCGTGGAGCGCGGGCCCGGCTGGCTGTAGGCAGGCAAGGTGTCGCCGCCGCCCGCGGCGGCAGCGGCGCTGGCGGCGCCAGCAGCCGCAGCGCTCGTGCCGCCTGCGTTGTGTTGCTGCCATCGCCCGCCAGGATGCCTCTGCTGCTCACTGCTCATCTGCCGCTGCTGCTGCTGCCGCTGCTGCTGCTGCTGGCTGTGCCGCCGCGGAGCCTTGTTGGCGTCGCCAGCGCTGGCGCTGCTGCCGCCCTGCCTGGCGCGCTGCCGGCTGTCCCTCCACGGGCCTCTGGTTACCACTGTGCCTTCCAGCACGGCAGCGGCCCATGCCTGGTCTCTGTCCTGCTGGGCCGCCATGCGATGGAGAGTCAGAGCCGCCCAGTCAGCTGGCATCCACGTTATTGTGGTGGCCTCAGAGGAAGTGCATGAAGCAGGGGAGCGGAGGAGGCCACTTGCAAATTGAGGCTGAGTTGGCATTGCGCGAGATCCATTCCTCCAGCACTCTGCGCACCCTTCGAGGCAAACCTGCATCGTGCCCGGACATGCATGCACCCGTGTTCAAAGGATAGAGGCGCCAATTAGCCGCCAACACTTGCACCGGGCCACTGAGCCTGTCGCGACCCGTTATCGTCCCAGAGAGCGCTGCTCCAGCCCGATCGATCACTTCTGAGCAGCCCTACCCAGCCCCAGCGGCACCACCGAGAATGGGCAGTCCCGCCGGCCAAGTTGTGCGCCAGGCGGCCCCAGCTCCGCCGGATCAGGACGAACACGCCACGGCAGGACTGACCCTGGGCTCCTCGGCGCCGGACGTGCGCACCGCCCTGGGGGGAACTGGCGCCAGCTGCCGGCCCACCCCGGACGACGGGCGCCAGGCTGGGGCGGCGCCGCCGCCGCCACCCGGCGCGCAGCGCCCGCGCCCCGCCGCCGTGGTGGGCCTGGCGCTGAAGAAGGAGAAGCGCAAGAAGCACATCAGCGACAGGCTGGTGGCGCTGGCGGCGGAGGCGGGCATCGAGCTGCGGTTTGTGGACAAGGAGGCTCCGCTGGAGGCACAAGGGCCCTTCGCCGCCATTCTACAGAAGGTCCGCAAGCCAGGTGAGGCCCCCCGCCAGCCAGCCGCCGCCCCAGGCAGGCCAGCCGGGCTCCCTTGCCAGCCAGCCAGCCAGCCAGCCGCCGAGGGGCTCCCCGCGCCAGCTGGCCACCCGCCCGCCTGCTCCCGCCCCAGCCTGCTCTAACCAGTGGGTGGCAAGGCTGGCGGGGCCCGGCCCGATCCGGGCCGCACCGGGCCCCCACCACACACAGGCGCTGTGTCGGGCTGAGCTGTGCTGCACAGCCGGTCCAGCCGGCCTCCGAGCGCTCCTCACAGCCCGCACCCACGGCCCGCTCGCCGCCACCGCCGCCGCCCCTCCCATGCGCAACAGACTGGGAGGCCGCCATCACCGCCTATGCGGCGGCGCACCCCGAGGTGCGCGTCTTCGACCTGCCCGCCGCCACCTACCCGCTGCGCAACCGAGGATCCATGGTGTCCTTCCTGGACGGCGGCGGCTGGGTGTTTGAGGTGGGTGGGGTGGATGGGTGGGAAGGTGTGGGGCGTGGGCGGGCCCGGCAGCGCGATCGTGGATGCGTGTGTGAGCTTTTTGGTGGGCGGTTGCTGGCGTATGACTGCGATGGTGGTGTGGTCACGACGGGGACATGCAGCTGTGTGTGTGGGTTTGTGTGTGTTGTCGGTTGTGTGTGTGTGTGTGTGTGTGTGTGTGTGTGTGTTTGGCTGGTTGGTGGCGTCTGCGGTCCCGCCTGCACCGCTGCCCGCCTCCCTCCACCCGCGCCGCTGCCCGCCCCGCCGCGCCGCCCGCAGGAGCCCGCCGCGCTGGCGCAGGGCGGGCGCCCGCCGCAGCGCTGCCGCTGCTGCGTGCCCACCAACACAACGCTGGCGGAAGGGACCGGCTACGAGGCTGCGGTGGCGCAGATGGCGGCGGCGGGGCTGCGCTACCCTCTGCTGGCAAAGCCGCTGTGGGCAGACGGGCGGGAGGGGTCGCACGCGCTGGCAGGTGTGTGGTGGGTGTGCGTGTGCGTGTGTGTGTGGTGGTGGTGTGTGTGTGTGTGTGTGTGCGCACGTGTGTGTGTGTGTGGTGTGGTTGAGGTGCTGCGAGGCCCAGGGCCTAGCACCTGCTCTCCGCCCCACCTGCTGTGGCGCACATGCCTGCTCACCGCCTCGCCCTCCCCGCCTCCTCCCCCCCGCAGTGTTGCACAGCCCGCGCGGCCTGCGGCGGCTGCTGGCGGGCGAGGCGGCCTGCCTTCAGCTGCCGGTGCTGCTGCAGCAGTATGTGGATCACGGCGGCTGCCTGTTCAAGGTGTATGTGTTGGGAGAGACGTCAGGTAGGCGCTGCCGGGGCTGCTGGGCCGCGCCGCGCTGCTGCCGCGTTGCCGCCTGGGCCGCGCTGCCTGTACCGTGGTGCCTGTGCCGCGCTGTGTTGTGCCGTGGTGCGTGTCCAGCGATGCCTGTGCGGGCGCTGCTCATGCGGCGCCCTGCCAGGCCTGGCCCGGAGGTCCGGCCTGCCCCGCTGCCACCCACCACCCTTGACCGCCCATCGCCCGCCGACCCGCTGCGCCCACCTGCCTGCTGCGCCCGCCATGTTTCCTCTGCTGCAGTGCGAGTGAAGCGGAACTCGCTGCACCTCCCGCAGTGGAGCTGCTCGGCGGCAGGAGGGGACCCAGCAGCTGCCGCCGCCCCGCAGCAGCAGCAGCAGCAGCAGGGGCAGCAGCAGGCGGCGGCAGGGCAGGCGGCGCAAGGTGGCGGCGGCGTTGGCGGTGGCGGCGGCGGCGGCCAGCCTCTGCCAGACCTGGAGCTCATGGAACGAGTGTCGGCCTACCCCGCCAGCAAGTCATGGGGCAGAGCAGACACGGCGCCCAAGGCAAGAGGCTGCCGCCCCCTGCCGCCGCCGCTGCCGCTGTGCCGCCGCTGCCGCTGCTGCCGCCGCTGTGCCGCTGCTGCCGCTGTGCCCCGCCGCTGCCGCTGCCGCTGCACCCTGCAGGCAGGCGTTCTGGTTCATCGTGTGTTCTGCGTTTAGGGCAGACCGGCCCCGCCGCCCATGCGACAGCTCTGGCGCCCCCCCCTGCCCCCCACCCCCTGCCCCTCCACCCTCCCGCAGGGCCACGGCGTGCCCAGCCCGCCCGCCTGGCTGCTGCAGGCGCTGGCGCAGCGGCTGCGGCGCCAGACCGGGCTCAGCCTGTTCAATTTTGACGTCATCGTGCCCATGCACTGCCACCGCCGCCGCCTGCGCCACGAGAGCAGCGCCGCCGAGGCAGGCACGCCCGCCAGCAGCCTGGAGCAGGCTAGAATGCAGCAGGCGGGGCAGCAGGCGGGGCAGCAGGCGGGCGGGGAGCAGCAGAACGGCGCCTGCCGGCCGCAGCAGGCAGAGCAGGCCGAGGAACCCGCGGCTTTGGACCTGCGCCTGGCAGAGGCGCAGGCGGCGGCGGCCGCAGCAGCAGCACCTGCCGTGCAGCACGACGCGGCGGCGGGGGGCGGGGCATGCGGCGGGGAGGAGCGGCGGCCGCCCAGCGAGCGTGCGGGACAGGCAGGGCAGGGCGAGGAGGGGCAGCAGCAGGAGCTGTTGTACCACCTGATTGACATAAACTACTTTCCAGGTGGGCAGCAAGGGCTGGGCTCCCCTCCAGATCCCGTGTTTTCCACGGGCTTCTCACGGTCGGCAACAGGCGGAGCGTGTGCGTCTGTTTGGGCCCGGCAGCTTGGAAGGGCTGGAGCATGCTGGGGCTGCGCGCTCCTGCGCAGCGTAGCGGCCTCCGTTTCTGCGATGTTTCCATGTTCGTTCTGTGGTGTGTGCAGGGTATGAGAAGATGCCCAACTACGAGGGCTACATGGTGCAGTTCCTGCGCTCCATCACCGCCCCGCAGGCGGCGGCGGCGGCGGCGGCGACGGCGGCGCCCTCGCCCGACGCCCAGCAGCAGCAAGAGCAGCGGCAGCAGGGGACCTGCCGGCGCAGTAGCTCTTTTACTGTCATGCATGGCCCCTGACGCTGTCTGGCGGCCAAAGCGGCAGCCAGCCCAGGTGGCAGCGCTGGTTGCGCCGCTGAGAAGCCGCAGCTCAGCTACCTGCGGCACCTGCTGGGCGTGCGTCAGAGCGCGCCCAGTTGCGTGGTGCTGGCTGAGTGCGACGAGCGGCGGCTGAGGCAGCGCTGGTTGCGGCGTGCAGCTCAGCTGTGGAACAGGACGCTCGCGGAGAAGCCTGGCGGCCCGATGCAGCAAGCGTTGCACTCCAGCATCCACCTGGCAGCTCTGCTCAGCAGTCGTGGGCGGCCCAGCTGGAAGCCGGCTTGGCGGTGGTCGGCATACAGCTGGACATGCAGCAGCCAGCGCCGGTGGACCTGGGCGAGCTCGGGGACGCTAGCCAGCTGGCGGAGCTCCAGGCGGCGGTGGCGAAGGGCGGCGCCAGCTGGCTGGAGCACTATGTGTACAACGTGGTGGGCGCCCTCAACCTGGCGCCCGCCATGTTTGGATGGCACAAGGCCTACTTGGACGCAGTACGGCGGCGGCAGGACCGCGAGACGTTGGCACAGCTACGCGCCGGGTTGCATTGGGGCGCAGAAGAGACCGGCCGCTGGCTGCTGCGCCCCAGAGGGGAGCGGGTCTGCCCCCACTGCTACGACGGCATTGAGGATGCCCCCCACATGCCCCTTGTCTGCCCGTTGTACGCCCCGTTGCACGTGCAGTTCCCCGACCTGTTCTCTGATCCCCTGCCTCCCCACCGCTTCCTCCGCCAACCCCCGGCCAGCGTCGATGCCTTTGCCGCTGCCTGCCGCCACCACTGGCAAGCCGCCACCGCCGCCTTCAGCCAGCGCCAGACAGCCTCTTGCGAGGAAGACTCCTCATGCAGCTTTGTTTGATGCGCTCCAAATGCATACGTGCGTAACCCATGCCTTCTGTGCATGCTGGCAAGTCGGTTACATGTGAACAAATCGGTATGTGCAGACGTCTGCAGGAGAAAAGAACGCAATTGCGTGGTATGCGAAGTGGATGATGGGATGGGGGCTGCAGGGAGCAGCTGCAGCTTGCAAAACCAAGGCAGCTGCCATGTTGATGAGTGAGGATGCGAGCAGGGACATGCAAGCCAGGAGTGCAAAGCAGAGGATTTGAAGAGGGACAATGCCGGCTGAGCTCTTAGGGAAAGGGAATGAATGCGGGGGCAGCTGCAGCTGCCCACGTCCCTTCCAGCCGAGTTGTGTGCTGAGGTCATGGCGAATGTGCCGAGGTCACGGCGCAGACTCACCAGCCTCACTGTCAGCGGGTGAGGTGAGATGGCAGTGCTCCAAGCTTCCGCGCCGGCCAGAGAGCTGTGGCCCGGAGCTGTGAGCTCAACCCGCATTGCGCAAGAATGTACACTTGAACAGCGGAGCTGCAGAGCAGGGGGCAACATTGTTGCACGCCGTAAGGAACAAGCAAGCAACTTCAATTGAAGGGAATATGGCGGCGGCGGCGTGCACTTCAGAACGCGGGCGATGAGGGCAGGGCCACCCAGCCACCACACACTGAACGCAAACGCAGCAGGGGCAGATCGGGAGCGAGCGCTGGGAGGGAGCACTGCCAGGGGGACCAGCAGTGCCAGGTTTTCCTCGCATAAACACTGTCTCCTATGCATCCTCCCTCTGCACTCCCCTCCACCCACCTGTGCTCTCTGTCGGTGCAGCTCATTGTATCAGCCGGACCAGGACGACGCAAAAGAGAAACCCGCAGCCACCGTAGAAGTCGCCGCACATGAAGCACACGATGGCCATGAAAAGGGAGATGGGCTCAACCAGCTGCTTGACTGGCTGCATATCAGGCAGTTGCTTATCCAGTTCCTGCACCTTGCGTCTGGCATACGCAGAGCGCGGCGGTGTGCCGTGCGCGCCCGCCTGTGCGGGGGCGCCCTGAGCGGGCGCCACCCCGTCGCAGGGAAGTTACCCATATAGGGGGAGCGCCGCAGGCGCGACCTTGGTAAATGGGGGAGGGGGAGGAAGGAGGGAGAGGGAGAGGAAAGTTGCTGGCGCGCGAAGCGCGCCAGCCGACCCTTCCAGGAGCTAGTTTCCCTGCCGTTTCGCTCCGGTCGCGACTGAAGGGAGCCTCAAGTTCCCACTGGCAGCGCGTGGTACGATGCAGAGAAAGATGGGTGCAACGCCAGCTCGCGGCGTGCATGCTGTGCCCAGCACACAGCAGCAACAGTGAACACCTCTCTCTCTCTGGCGAATTTCCTCATCTGATTTAATGGAGTAGCCGAGGATCACAATGTATGGGTGTGTCAAAGATCAAAGAATGCATCAGAACTGCTAGGCTGCTGCTCAGTTGTTGCAGGTGCAGCACTGTGCTGCTGCTGCCCCTGCCCCTCTTGTTGTTGCTGCTGCTGCCCCTGAGGAGGCTGTTGCTGCTGCGGCAGTGGCGACGTGCTGCGCGTGATTAAGGTAAACCCTGGGAACCGAGCCCAGCCTGCCAATCCTTGCGGCGCTGCTGCTGCCGGTGCCGCCACCACCGCCGTCGCCACCGCCGCTGTCGGTGCCCCCGTAGGCAATGCAGGCGCAGCGTGTGCTGCCGTGACGCCCGCTGCAGCTGCTACAGCGGCTGCAGCAGATGCTGGAAGCGCGTTCTGCCGGGCAAGGTGGCCGTTTGATTTATCCTCTGCCGACCACTTCTTGGACCATGCCCTTTGCTGAGAGTCGGGCAGCGCGTCCCACTCGGCCTTGTGGGGGCAGATGAGTTTGTGCGGGCCTGTCATGAAGACCAAAGAGCCCTTGTATCTGCACAGCGACGGTTTGGTGAAAAGAGGCATGGTGTAAGGAAGCATTATTGCCATGCCAGCAAGGGGTGCAGCCACATCAGTGCAACATGCGAAGCATGCAGAGCAGCCAAAGCAGCTAATGCAGCAACGAGAGACAGCTAGAAATTGAGCTCACCTGCACGCACGGCAGAGGTGCTTGGTTCCAGCACCACCTTGTTCACCGCGGCGCCGCTTCGGCGCGACCGCAAGCGTAGGGGGCGCACCGCCTGCTGCACCATGCCGCTGGCTTGCCTGCCGCTGCTCTTGCTGCTCACCCAGTTGAGACCCAGGCTGCACAGGAGGCGCAAGAGGCTGCGCCGCATGCTGCTGCTGCTGCTGCTGCTGCTGCTGCCTCCGTTGCTGCCGCTGCTCTTGCTGCAGCAAGACAACTGCTGCTCGCTCAGCGGCCGCTGCCGGGTGCAGCGTGTTGTGAGCCGCCTCGCGTTGCCCGAGGTCCAGCCACGCCTCGCGCAAGAGCTTGCCATTGGTGCGCCGCAGCTGAGTTTGCGTGGATCCACCAGCCGCTTGAAAAATGTGGTGTTCCACTGCTCCGCCAGTGCGTCCCATTCAGCATTGGTGGTGGGTGGGCGAGCGCTGGGTGGCACCAGCTCCAGCAGCAGCACCCTGTCCTCCTCGCTCTCGGGGCGCCGCCGCAGCCGAGCGAAGCAGGCGGGTGCTGCGCAGCGGTAGACAGCCTGCAAAGTGCAGACAACAGGCCGGATCCTGGTTTATTGGAGGAGAACTTAGGCGGGCAAAAAAACCAAGGACCCTCGGCTCAAGGTGACCAACACCCCACCTGCGCCTCGCAGGCCGGCCGTGCGGGGGTGCCCAGCAATGTGCGCGGGGTGGAAGCGGAGCGCTGCGCTGGTGACCGACATCGCTACCGCCCGCGGTGGGACAAGGTTTGCGGCGTGCCTGAGGCCGCTCCTGGATTCTGAACGACACCGGCAGCTTCAAAACGCGGCAAGATAGCCAAACAGGGCACCAAATCTGGAATTGCCTGCCAACTACGATGCCGTCAGCACCGCCGCCAGCGAGACATGCGGACCCTGCCGACCCAGGGCTATGCGCAGTTCAATGATTCATTCAACTGACAGCGAGTGAACTGGTGCCCATCTCACAGCTTCAAACTGGCCGCGCTCTGCGCCCCAACCTCTATCCACGCCTTCGTCGGGGCCACGGTTCCGCCCCGCTGCTGGGCTCAGCATGTGGATTGTGGTGGGACCACATGTGCATGGGCTGCCTCCAGACTGTCAATTTTCCCGCCCCTTTCTTCGCGCAGGCTTCCATCCGGACGTCACTGCCGAAGCTGGCGTGCAACCCTCCTCCATGTACTGAGGGAACACGTGGCGGCACCGCCCTCGCCGCCGGAAGACCAGACGGGAGAGCTTGGCAGCCACCTGGCGAGCCGCTGTGGCCTGGCCTCGGTGTCGGCACTCCAGCTGGCAGCAGCCTGGATGCAGTCAGCCTGTGGGGCAGCGGTTCTATGCTGGGTGGCCCCAGGCCACCTGCAATGCGGCGTGGGCTATGCTGAGCTGCTGCATCTGATGCCGTCGAAGCGGAGCCCTGAGAAGGCTTTCATCCCAATACGGCTCACATGCGAGCTGCTGCTGCTGTTCGTCCAGGCCTGCGGCAACGCTTCCCAAACCCCGGGATCCCCACCTGTTTAGGCAAACCCTTGAAGCTGCTGGTGTCCTCTCAGTGGCAGGCGTTGAATGGAAAGCAGGCGCTGCGTTGCCTCGTGAGCATGTCAATCGCTGAGGCGGCAGCATGCCGCTCCCGCCCCAGCGTGCGTAGCGGGCAACACTTGTTTGTAGCAATCAGGCTGGCGGCCATTCCCGCTATCCCTGCATGCGATGGATGCAACTTTAAACGATCTGGAGGCTCTGGCCGCGAGCCTGGCGTCCCCCGCCTCCTCGCCCAGGGGAGAGCACGAGCTCGGGCGGCTGGCCGAGGCTTTCCTGGATCGTTCAGACGGCGCTGAGCTGGGAGTGGGTGGCGGCTCCCAGGCGCTGGGCTCGTGAGTGGGAAGGAGCGGCCAGGAAATGGCGGGAAGGCCACACCTTCCCATTACGCTTTATAGTTCTGCCCAACTCCTGTCTCCGCTGTGCAGCAAGATAAGGGAGGTAGCTCAGGCACTGAAGGCGCTGGATGCCCGTCTGCAGCACAGTCTGGCAGCCGGCACCCGGCTCTCTGCCTCCGCCGCCGCCATCTGCGGCTGCAGCACGTCGAGGCGAAGCGGGCGCTGCGGGCGGGCGCACAGGACACCATCGCGCTTGAAGATAACAACCCTAATGAGCACTTTACCAGCGCATGGGAGCTGGCGCAGTTGCAGCAGCCACCTGCGACGCCAGCGTGCTGGATGCGGTTGTAGCAGCCGGCTGCACCACACGCAGCAACGCACCGCTGCTGGCGCGGCTGCGTGCGCCGCCCAGCAAGAAGTACCTGGGCTTCTGCCTCGGCGGCTCACGGGAGCAGGTGCGGTCGTACCTGGGATGCTGCCCCCTGCCGCCGCCGCTGCCGCTGTGCCGCCGCTGCCGCTGCCGCTGCACCCTGCAGGCAGGTGTTCTGGTTCATCATGTGTTCTGGTTTTAGGGCATACTGGCGCCGCCGCCCATGCGACAGCTCTGGCCCCCCCCACCCCCACCCCCTGCCCCTCCACCCTCCCGCAGGGCCACGGCGTGCCCAGCCCGCCCGCCTGGCTGCTGCAGGCGCTGGCGCAGCGGCTGCGGCGCCAGACCGGGCTCAGCCTGTTCAATTTTGACGTCATCGTGCCCATGCACTGCCACCGCCGCCGCCTGCGCCACGACAGCAGCACCGCCGGGGTCGGCACGCCCGCCAGCAGCCTGGAGCAGGCTAGAATGCAGCAGGCGGGGCAGGCGGGGCAGCAGGCGGGCGGGGTGCAGCAGAACGGCGCCTGCCGGCCGCAGCAGGCAGAGCAGGCCGAGGAACCCGCGGCTTTGGACCTGCGCCTGGCAGAGGCGCAGGCGGCGGCGGCCGCAGCAGCAGCACCTGCCGTGCTGCACGACGCGGCGGCGAGGGGCGGGGCATGCGTCGGGCAGGAGCGGCGGCCGCCCAGCGAGCATGCGGGGCATGCGGGGCAGGGCGAGGAGGGGCAGCAGCAGGAGCTGCTGTACCACCTGATTGACATCAACTACTTTCCAGGTGGGCAGCAGGGGCCGGGCTCCCCTCCAGATCCCGTGCTTTTCACGGGCTTCGGGAGCAGGCGGAACGTGTGTGTCTGTTTGGGCCCGGCAGCTTGGAAGGACGGGAGCATGCTAGGGCTGCGCGCTCCTGCTCAGCCGCCCCGGCCGCCCCGGCCTCGTTTCTGCGGTTTTTTCATGTTGTTTTTGTGGTGTGTGCAGTGTATGAGAAGATGCCCAACTACGAAGGCTACATGGTGCAGTTCCTGCGCTCCATCACCGCCCCGCGGGAGGCAGCGGCGGCGGCGGCGGCGCCCTCGCCCAACGCCCAGCAGGAGCAAGAGCAGCAGCAGCAAGCGGACCTGCCGGCGCAGTAGGATTCTTGGATGTCATGCATGGCCCCTTGATGCTATTGACTTAGCTAGCCTGCTGGCATTGTAATGCGCATCTGGCAACAGAAGTGGGGGCGCTCGATGGCAGGCAGCCGCAGGTACGCCAGTACGAGCTCTTGCGGGCTTGGCCAGGGACTGGTGGTGGTCCCACAACTCCTCACATCCCCAGCACACACGTAGAGCAGCCGGCAGGTGAGGCAGGGCCCAGGGCTGCCACTTCTCGCAGCCCAGTCCTCCAGTGCTGGGCAGCAGCTCTGGGCGAGGCCAGGGCTTCATAAAAACAGCAGTTCAGCCGTGCCTAGGTTTGCTGTGGGGTGATGGCGGCTGCTCGGGCCCCGCAGCAGGCCTGCTGAGGGAGCAGGAGTGGAGGCAGAAGAATGCTGGGCCTTAGGACTGCAGCTAGACAGCAGACAGGGGGAGCTGGATGGTGGCGTGGCTCAGCAGCCGGCAGCGGCCGCCGCCCATCCCGCTGCCGGACCCCAACCCACGGCTGCCCTCCACTCCATTGAGATTCATTGACCTCCATTCCGTCATGCAGGCTTTGGATTACCAACACCTGCTCATTAGAGCAGATCTTCCCAACCAGCCGCCGCCGTCCCCAGTACCTCCGACTGCAGCCGCCGGCATGGAGCGCGAGGCGCCGGTACCGCAGCACGTCATGGACCTGCGCAACATCCGCCGCACCTGCCTGGAGATGCTGCGGGACCGTGGGTACCAGATCGACAAGGTGGAGGCTCCAAGGGGGCAATGGAAGCTTGGGGATGGGGCCCGAGGGGGAGCCAAGCCCAACACCCGTGCTGCCAGTGCCTGCCCGGCGCAGCGCACACGGTGCTGCCCTGAGGCAGCGGCTTGCAGCAAGGTGCGGGAGAGACGTGGCTGCCCCCTGAACGCCCTCGCGCCGCCTGCTGACCCGCAGGAGGATGTGGAGATGAGCGGGAGAAAGTTTGTGGAGAAGTTTGCCACAGAGCCCGACCCCGAGAACGTGCGGCGCGACGCCATCACCATCCTCGCATCCAAGGCGGTGCGCCGCGGCACGGGGCCGGCGGCGGGCGCTGCACGCCAGCCAGCCAGGCAAACTGCTGGCCTGCACGCTGGGAGCGCGGCTTGTCCGGCGGGCAGGCTGCCCAGCAGGCCACGGAGGATGCCACGTGCATAGATCGATGGATCACTGGTGCCCATCCACCTCCATGCCGTCTGCCCTCAGCACGTGTTTGTCTCCCTGACTCCTTGAGGTGAGCGCCTGCAGGATGACCCCACACACCAAGCCTTCGTCTTCTTTTTCGAGGACCCGAAGGTAAGCTTGGAGGCGGCGCCCAACGCTGCAACGCTCGGCTGCGGGCTGTGCAGCGCCGCTGGTTCTGGGTGCCCCGCCGCATGTCCCGCTCACCCGCCCTGTTGCGCCGCGCCTGCGGCGTGCCTCTGCGGCCTGCAGCTGGGGGTGAAGGCCATCAAAGCGGTGGCGGTACGCATGCGGGACGAAAGGGTGCCGCGCTCCATCCTCGTGTTGCAGGTGCGAGGAGGCAGCTCGGGCAAGTGGTGGGGCGGGCGGGCACCACTCGCTGATATGTGTGGTGGTGGGGAGGGGAAGGGGCGCACCCAGCCGCGGGGGCGGCACCCCGGCAGAGGCTGGCTCCAGGGCGGGGCAGCCTCTGTCGGACATGGCGGCAGCGGAGGCATCCTGACGCCGCCTGTTGATTCAACCACGTGCTCCCTGTTGCGCCCTGGGCCGAGCAGGACAAGCTAACGCCGTTTGCCAAGCAGTGCATCCAGGAGATGTCGGCCAAGTTTGCCATTGAGGTGAGGCGGGGTGGCGAGGAGCCCCAGCGGCAGGCGGCGTGGTCGTGTGTGTTGTGCGCTGTGTGCTTGCGTGCGTGCGGGAGCGGCTGTGGAAGTGAGGGTGGTGGGGGCTGGCATGCGGCCAGGGGCAGGTCTGCTGCTGGAGCTGCTGAGAGGGCGGGGCAGGCTGAGGTCTGGGACGCTCTTGCACCACGCCAGTTGGCTGCTGCCGGGCATGGCAGCCTTCTTGTCCGGTGTGCCTGCTGCATCCCACCCCATCCCCGCCCAGCCCGGCAGGTGTTTGCCGAGGGTGAGCTGCGTGTGAACATCACCCGGCACAGCATGGTGCCGCAGCACCAGGTGCTGAGCCGGCTGGACAAGGCGGCGCTGCTGGAGCGGTACAAGGTGCGGCACGAGGCGGTACAGCGGGACAGCTGGAGCAGGCAGGGAGGGGGGACACGATGAGCATGGGGGGGTGCAGGGCGGCACCTAGCCGCTGCTCACCTCGCCAGGGGATCCCGGCAACGGTGAGGCTCAACACGCGCCGGCCACACCGTTCCCTGCTCCCGCACCCCCCCCACACCCACACCCAAAACCCCGCAGGTCAAGGACACCCAGCTGCCGCGCATCCAGCACCAGGACCCGGTGGCCCGGTACCTGGGCCTGGAGCGCGGCCAGGTGGTGCGCATCGTGCGCGGGTCGGAGACCGCGGGGCGCTACGGTGGGCCCGCCAGTAGTGCGGGGAGGCTGGGCCCGCGCCCGGGGCGGCGCCGCAGGCAGGGCAGCCAGCGAGCCGGCGTGAAAAGCCGCGCTGCTGTGACGGCTGGCATGTGCTGCTGCGCGCTGCTTCGTCCCTGGCTGCAGTCACCTACCGCCTCTGTGTGTGACGGCTGGGAGGCCGGCGAGTTGAGCGGCGGCTGGCGGCACCATACAGCCGGGGCCTAGCAGCGACGCAATTGCCAACGATTTACGTATGTTTGCCTCGGCCCGCACCGGCTGGGCTGCTGCCCTAACTGCACAATGGCACGGCCGGCATGTGAGATCAAAAGGCAGCCGCAGCGGCCCCCTGGCGATCTGTCCAAGCTGCTACACAACAGCAATCAAAAGCACTAACAGCGGCGTGCAAGGGGCTCAGCACTAAGCCACGGGGTCTAAATGCTACGCATGCTGGGCGCCCTCCTGGCCCGCACAATCCGCCGGGCGGCCCCAGGCTCGCCCTCTTTGGCTGCTTGCTCGGAGAGCCACAGGTAGCCACCATGGCAGGAGAGCGCGTGCGGCTCTACGTCACCGGCCAGTTCCTCGGCTACAAGAGGTGTGGATGGCCGCCATGCAGCGCACCAGCGGGTGCACAGCCATTTGCAGTTCTGTGCCATGCAGCTGGGCGCACACCACCCGGCAGGCCGTGATGGCAGCGGCATGCAGCAGCCGCGGGCCCCTGGGCGGCGCCTGTGTGGGCGGAAGGGAGCAACATCCCACCAAGAGCCCGTCGCCGGCCGGCAGGCGGGCCAGCCGCACCAGGAGGCGCCGGCCAGCGGGGCGGCGGCGGTGGCAGCAGGGGTGCTGCCTTGCACGGAGCAGGCTGAGCAAGCAGGGGTCTAGTGACAAGCCAGCAGCAATAATGGCAGCAGCAGCAGTGGGATGACGGCAGCCTGCACTAGGTCACATCAGAACCACCCGATCCGTGGCAACAGCTCGATTCGCCGCCCTTGCCGCGCTGCTCTCCGCCCCCCGGCTGCTGCCCAACCTGCCTGCGCCCGCCCCGCCTGCGCCCTCGCAGGGGAAAGTCCACCCAGTACACCCACACCGCTCTGGTGAAGGTGGATGGCGTGAACACCAAGGATGAGACGGAGTTCTATCTGGGCAAGCGGTGAGGCTGGGGCTGGTTGGCTGGGGCTGGGGCAGGCTGGTGGCTGGCGTGATGCATTGATGCAGGTAGACGGGAGGGGTGTGTGTAATGGGCGGGGCGCACACTTCTGGGGATGCCAGTGGCAGCGGCGGGTGGCAGATGGGCAGATGGCACCATCGACGGCATGGCGGCGAGGCTGGAGTGGAGCAGCCCAGCGGCAGAGCCTGGCGCAGCACGGCATGGCGGGGCTGGGATGTGGGGAAACAGCGTCAGTCTGCAGCCTGGGGGGTGGGGAACGCTGCTGGAGCGAGCAGCTGCGTGCGGCAGGCGCCGAGGGCGCTCACCACGCGGCGCAGCGCCAGCCGGGCGAGCGCTGCGACCACATTCACTCATGAGGGCAGCGCCAGCGCAGCAGGCGGCAGCAGCGCCGGCGGGACACGCACGCACAAGCTCTCGCTGGCTGCGCCTGGGTCTGGACCCTTTGCCCTCTCCGCCTCGTGCCGTCTGACCTCCCCACCCTCATGTTGTGCGCGTGCGCTGTTGCTGCCGCAGCGTGGCGTATGTGTACAAGGCCAAGACAGAGAAGAAGGGCAGCAAGTACCGCGTGATCTGGGGCAAGGTGCGCGCAGCATGCGCAGCACGGGGCTGGGCGCTTGTGCGTGTGCTGCCGTGGATGGCAGCACGTCTGCTAGCCCTGCCGATACTGCTGCTGCTGCATGGCAGCGGTAGCGCCGCGCCGTGCTGGCGGGCGGCGACGGCAACACGGGGGTGTTGGAGCATCGCTCCGCGGCAGTCAGCGTGGCGCAGCTGACAGTTGATGGCGTGGAGGGGGAGCAGCTGGTAGCGCGCAGCCTGGGAGTGCAGCTGGGTGAAGCAGCGCAGGAGGCGGCTGCAGCAGCCATCCACGGCAGCTGCTACCAGCATCCGCGCCCTGCAAGCTGCCCCTGCCGCCCTTTCTGCTGGCTGGTTTGCTGCCCGCACCGCACGCTTGGCACCCTTTGCTGACCCCTGTGTGCTGCTTGCTGCGGCTGCGTGCGCGTGCGTGCAGGTGACCCGCGCCCACGGCAGCGTCGGCACCGTGCGCACCAAGTTCCAGAAGAACCTGCCCCCCGCAGCCATCGGCAGCAAGGTCCGCGTGCTCCTCTACCCCAGCCGTGTCTAGGCCGCAGCAGCCTTGGGCTTTGCAGCGGTACTGACGGCAGCGGCGCGACACGTAGCAGCGCGGAGGCAGCTGGAGGCGGCCGCCGCCCGCGTGCCGCCCTACTAGTGCTGGAGGGCGGGCGCGCGGGATGGGCCCGCCGGCAGGCCGGATGGCGGCGGCAGTCGCACTGCCCGCGCCTGGCATCCATGTGGGAATGCATTACTCATTCCGCCGCCGGCTCCAGCTGTAATTGTGGACAGTTCGCTTCCCTGGAGGGCCAATGGAGGGCCTGGAAGAGGCGGCGACTGGCAGGAGCCTGGGGTGGTGGCATGACTTCGAGCACTGTCTGTGGGCCCAGACGGCCCATCGCTGGGTGCCTGGGAAGAACAGTCAACTTTGCAAGCCTTGCGGCCAGCTTGCCCAGAAAATGTTGGTGTGGCGCGGTCGGCTGTCGCCGCCTGCCACTGGTGCTGGCACGTCGGAGAAAGGCTCCGCCGCTCTTGCGGCACTCTCTCCGGGTGAATTACCGCTCTTTAGGCTCAGAGCGGGGCCCCTGCCAGCAACCCGCCGACTCGACATTGGACACATGCGGATCCCACAGGGAGAAGAATGGCTGGGACTGGGACCCTTCCGGACGGTTCTGGTGCCCAAGGGTGAGCTCCGCTGCATTCTTCAATGCCCAAGGCGGGTAGGCAAGCGGGCGGAGGGACCGCGCCGCCAACCGCCGCCCGCCGCCAATGCTGCCATCCCCGCAGTGTACTTTTTCACCGTGTCCGCGGGGCTGGTGTTCCTGCTTCCGTTCGTCAACGTCTTCTACCGCGAAATCGGATTCAGCGAGGAGCTCATCGGAGTCCTGTGTGCCCTCAAGCCCTGGGTTGCCGCTCCCGCAGGCACGACAGCCCAGGCATGCTGTTGGGGCTCCCTTCATCGCGCTGGCCCACCACCTGCACCCTTGCAGCACAACAAAGGCTCACCCATCCGGCTGGGACCCCCGCAAATCATGAGCCGACTCGGCGCCGCCGCTGCCGCAGGCTCGCTCATCGTGTCGGCCGCCGACGCCAGCCGCCGCCACATGGCGGTGCTGCTGGCCGTCTACCTGACCGCCTTCATAGGCCGCTCCTTCATCACCTTCTTCACCGCATTCTCCGTCCAGCTGGCCCTGGCGCTGCTGACCGAGGCGGCGGCCAGCCCCATGGGCGCCCTGGTGGATGCAGCCGTCATGGCCTCGGCCACCGATGTGAGCAGGGTGGTGGTGGCTGGTATGAGGGCTGGTATGAGAGCTGGGAGGAGGTGGTGGGAGCGGGCGCGGGGGCTGATGAGAGGAGGACGTCGGCGCCGGGGAAACCGGGCGCCAGCACAGCGACAAGCGTCCCGGCGCTGGCCAGCACCATGTGCCTGCCTCTCGAATGCCTGCCCGCCTTCCCTTGCTGCCCCATGCGCCCCCTGCTGCCCCGTTGTGCGCAGGAGGGCGGTTACGGCCGCATCCGCATGTATGCGTCGGTAGGGTGGGGCCTGACCGCGCCGCTGGCGGGCTGGGTGGTGGCAGCCTTTGGCCTGCGGGCCGCCTTCCTGTGCTACACCTTCCTGGTGGGCGCCTGCCTGCCCCTGGCAGCGCTGATGCCCATGGAAGTGCTGGCCGCGCCCAAAGCGGCGGCCCAGGCGGCGCCGGCCGCAGGCGACGCAGGCAGCCAGCTGTGCTGCCAGGGCGCTTCCTTCGAGCAGCTGGGGCTGGGGTCTGACGGTGCCGGCACCAGGAGCGACGCGGAGAACTTCAGCGTGCACGTGAGCGGCGGCAGCGAGGGCCAGCTCCCGCACCTGGCGACCAAGGAGGGCAGCAGGCACGGTTGCGACGGCAGCGCCAAGCGCTGGAGCATAGGCACCGCCCTGCATGCCGCCCCCGAGCCCCACCACACCCAGGACCCCGGCAGCAGCCCCAGGCCTGTGATCCACCTCGTCGCCGACGCCCGTGGCGGCGGCGCCCGCCTGCTCTCCAGCCCTGAGCGCCCGCTGCTGAGCCCCAGCAGCTGCCCCTCCTCCCCCGACGCCCCTGCCATCGACCGCACCTGGCACACCACCACCACCACCACCTGCAGCACGAGCACCCTGGAGATTGCCGCCGGCCCCAGCAAAGCCCGGCTGGCGGGGCCGGCGGGCGGCCCGGGGCCAGCGGGGGGCGCCCCCACCAGCGTGTGGCGGGGCGTCAGGGCGCTGCTGGGGGATGTGCATGTGGCGGTCTTCTTCTTCTTGGTGAGCGCCCCCTGACTGCCAGCTGGTAGCCACAGGTGCTGTCGCCAGATCAGCGTGCAACCGGCCCCTGCTTCAACAGTGCATTGCGGTGGCGGGGCCCGGCAAGGCGGTGCCCGCTCGCCTCCCAGCCTCACACCTGCCCGCCTGCTGCCGTCCCGCCCCGCCCCGCCAGGCCTTCCTCATGGGCGTCGGCAACGGCGTCATCGGCTACCTCTTCCTCTACCTGGATGAGCTGGGTGGGTGGGGAGGGGAGGCCGCCGGCGCATGTGCCAGTCCCGGTGCTGAAGCCTGGCGGTGCTTGCCGGGCCGGCTTGCCGGGGAGCCTGCTTGCAGCGAGCACCCCTCCCCTCCCTGCTGCCTGGCCTCCACCCTGCCACCCTGCCTTGCGCTGCGCACCCCCCACAGGCGCGTCGGGCACGCTGATGGGCCTGTGCCTGTCCTCCAACTGCGCCGCCGAGGTGCCCGTCTTCTTCTTCTCGGGCCGCCTGCTGGCGCGGCTGGGGGTGGAGCGGGCGCTGCACCTGGCCATGGCCGCCTACGTGGCGCGCCTGCTGGCCTACCTGGTGAGCCTCCCAGCGCAGTTCGGGGCTGTGGCTGTGCCCCGAGGGGGACACTGGTGGGCTTGGGTGTGTGCCTCCTCCCAGCTGGCTGCCCCAAGTTGCCCCCCCGCTTCGCCGCCGCGTGCAACCGGCCCGCCGCCGCTGGCCTGGCGCCCCCGCAGGCCCTGCCCCTGCTGCCCTCCGCCTGGCTGGTGTTGCCCGTGGAGCTGCTCCAGGGCTGCACCTTTGCGCTGGCGTGGTCGGCGGGGACAGTGCAGGTGAAGCGCATCGCGCCGCCGCACCTCAGGAGCACCGTGCAGAGCCTGTTCCAGGGGCTGTACACGGGCATAGGTGGGCAGGTGGACGGCGGGGGTCTGGCCAGTGAGCGCTGGTGCCTCAACCTGCATCCGCGCTTGCTCGCATTCGCTGTCCTGTGTTCACATCGCCCGCCACCACCTCTCACCTCCTCGCCTCACACCATGCAGGTGCTGGCCTGGGAGGTTTGGTCGGGGGGCTGCTGTACGGCTCGCTCGGCGCCTCCGCCCTCTTTCGGACCGCCGCCCTGGCGCTGGCGGCTGGCTGGCTGGGCGCCCTGGCCGTCTTGCGCGTGTGGGGCGGCAGCAGCGGAGGCTACGCTGCCCAGCAGGTGCAGCAGAGTGCCGAGGGGCAGGGGCAGCTGGAGAGGCAGGCCAGTGGAGAAGAGGGGGAGGCTGCCGCCCTGCTGCGCCCCTGACCGCTGCCTCCCGTCGGGCTGCCTGTTTCCAGCGACTGCAAGCAGTGCTGGCGGCTGCTGGACACCCCTTCCAATGACGCTGTTTGCTTCACCTACCTATCTTCTTCTTCTACAGATCTCTTTCACGCGCTGGCTTCTGGGGTGAAGAACTGCTTTCCTTGTGCCTGCTTGTACCGCCTGATTATGTGACGCTGCGGCAGCTGCCATCTTGAGGTGCACATGCAGCCAGTTACAGAGGGACCGGCACAGGGGGAAGCTTTTGCAACGCAGGGTCTTAGAGGGGATCGTTTGAATCTGAGGGCGGGTCAGCCATCGACAGATCGACAGATCAACGTGAAGTCAGATCAGCATTGCACGCATGATCGAGGGAAGCGGGGCAGTCTATAGCTCGCCGCGGCTTGTTGGGGGGGATCGACAGATCAGCAGATGATAAGACGGGTAATCGAGAGATCGATTCAGGCAGATATGCATGCAGGGGGAAGTATTGTGGGGCACCCCGCATAGCTCCATGTTGCTGCTTGGGGCCACGCACCAGCCGTGCCGCTGGGACGCGGCAGCTGGGCACCGCCTCGGCCCACGCTGCGGCAGAAGGCCCTTGGCGCAGGCCTAGCCGGAGCCTGCACACGAGCAGACGTGGCCGACTCACAGCATGACACCCCCACCCCACCAGCAAGAGGACGGGTGCAGGTTACCAGGCCAGCAGTGCTGGTCAGCTGGGATCCAGCAACATACGGCATGCCTGCCAGCAGCTCCCTGCCTGGCCACTCACCGCACTGTGCCTTGGCCTTTGCCTCGGCCTGGGCCTCGCAGAAGCTGGAGCTGCCGGAGCAGGAGGCCTTGGCGCTGGCCTGCATGGACAGCGATGCGTGGTGCAGAGACGATGATGCATTGCACTTGGCCAAGGAGGGTGCAGGTAGTCTGCGGCTGTCCTCTCACCTTTGCCTTGGCTTTGCAGTCGCTTGCTGGCTCGTGCTCGCCACAGTCGGGGCCCATGCAACCACCACCGCCGCCGCCACCTGCACAGATCATAAAGGAACGGAGAGCCAGATGGAGGTGGCAAGCAGCGTTTGGATTGGGATGCGTGGCTGACTGGGCTAAAAGGCAAGGTACTGCTCCCTCCTTCATCATCCAAAACGTTAAAAGCTGGATGCAAAGGGCGTCACCAGGCCTGGCAGCCCCCAGAATCCTCCACTCACCCTCGCACTCTGCCTTTGCCTTTGCTTCGGCCTGGGCGTCACACCAGCTGGAGCTGCCGGAGCAGGAGGCCTTGGCCTTGGCCTGCATGGACACGGCGAGTCGGGCGGGGCGAGGGTGAACCGCTGGCACAAGGGAGGGTGCTGCCTGTTGGGGGCTGGCAGCCTCACCTTTGCTTTGGCCTTGCAGTCATTGCCGCCACCACCGCCGCCGCCACCGCCACAGCCGGGGCCCATGCAACCACCGCCGCCACCACCACCTGGCAGGGCATGAGCAGACGAAGCGGCACGCATTGCTTGGAAGGGTTGCGGCCTTGGCAGGGCCGAGTCAGGAAGGATCCCAAAAGCATCAGGGATGATTTGCTTGCAAGCACCGCCGCGCGCCCGCAGCCGTCCAGCACCAATGCATGCAAGGGCGTCACTGAGCCTGACAGGCTGGGCCACAGCTCCCCACACTCACCCTCGCACTCTGCCTTCGCCTTTGCTTCGGCCTGGGCATCACACCAGCTGGGGCTGCCGGAGCAGGAGGCCTTGGCCTTGGCCTGCGGCAGGGGCAGATCACACGGTTTGCAGCAGAGCGCGGAAGGCCACGCTGCTCGAGGCTGGCAGCCTCACCTTTGCCTTGGCATGGCAGTCGCCGCCGCCACCACCGCCACCGCCACAGTCGGGGCCCATGCAACCACCGCCGCCGCCACCACCACCTGGCAGCGCATGAGAGCGAGAGGGAGCGGCAAGCAATGCTTGGGGCCCTGCCAGGGCCGAGTCACGAGGGATTCCCAAAGTGGGAGGGATAGCTGCTGCAGGCATTTTGGCACGCCTGCAGGCCTTCCAGCCAAAATGCAAGGGCGCCAGTGAGCCAGACTCACCCTCGCACTCTGCCTTCGCCTTTGCCTCGGCCTGGGCGTCACACCAGCTGGGGCTGCCGGAGCAGGAGGCCTTGGCCTTGGCCTGCATGGACACGGCGAGTCGGGCAGGGACATAGATATCGATGCAGGCAAGGCACAAAGTGTGTTTACAAACTGTGGCTGTCCTCTCACCTTTGCCTTGGCGTGGCAGTCGCCGCCACCACCACCGCCGCCACCGCCACAGTCGGGGCCCATGCAACCACCGCCACCGCCGCCACCTGGCAGCGCATGAAATAGAGGACGCAAGCAATTCTTGGAGGGGCAGCGGTCCTGGTAAAGGAAAATGAGTAAACCTGAGGAGGGATTCCCAACAACATGCAACGGCGCCAGTGAGCCTGGCATCTGCCCCATGCCCTGCCACTCACCGCCACACTCTGCCTTCGCCTTTGCTTCGGCCTGGGCCTCGCAGAAGCTGGAGCTGCCGGAGCAGGAGGCCTTGGCCTTGGCCTGCATGTACACGGCGAGTGGGCGGGGCGAGGGTGAACCACTGGCACAAGGGAGGGTGCTGCCTGTTGGGGGCTGGCAGCCTCACCTTTGCTTTGGCCTTGCAGTCATCGCCGCCACCGCCTGCAGAGGTGCAGGAGAGGGAAAGGTTGTGTGCAGGGGGCCAGGGCGCTGCCACTAGCTTGGAAGCAAGCAGAGCACCTGCTGCCAGCAGCTGGCACCAGGCACTAACAGGTCCAGCCCAGTCGGGTGGCAGGCGCCAGGCGGGAACCGCTCACCAGTGCCGCATTTTGCCTTGGCCTTGGCGTCTGCGACAGCGTGGCAGAAGTCTGGGTCGGAGAAGAAGCAGTCGGCCTGGGCCGAGGCGTAGGCGTCAGCGTAGCAGTCCAGCAGGTGGCGATCTGCACGGGACGAGGCGCGGGGGTGGTGAGGGGGGTGGTGAGGTGTATGCAGGGAGAGACCCAGTAGCCAGTGGTGCCAGGGAAAAGGAGAGCAAGCAGCAAGGGCGGCTGTCCACCAGGCACTCACCAGGGGCCAGGCGAGAGTGCACGGGGGCGGCTGCCAGCAGCAGCACGGCCACCAGGGCCGAGGCAGTCAGCTTCATCTTCCCTGGGCTAGCTGGGGAGGAGGTGGCTGGGGGACAACCTTGGACGAGTGCAGGCTCGAGGTCGAGGTAGAACAAAGCCAGGCCTGAATAGAGTGGGGGAGAGCTTAGCATTTAAGCGCTCTCATGGGTGTCTGCGTGGGAACCTTCTCCTGCTTTCCTCTGCCTTCACCTGAGTACCGCCTTCGCCCAGCTTCACCGATGAACAGTGCGACGCAGGAAGTGGGCATTCATCAGATGGGCAGCTGCCTGTCGAGTTTGACAGCAGCGCAAAACACTTAAATGTAACAATAAGTGGTGTGCCAAACGATTTCACAGAGGCTCATGCACATGCCGGCCATGCCGGTCAAGCTCGCGCTGCCCGCGCTGCCGCCAGCTCCCTGCACACGCGCCTGTGCCCGCCCGCCCGCCAGTCCGCGTGTGAGCAGGCTACGCCGCAATACCGTACTGCCCTGCAGCCGCCGCACAGCTTGCCGCCGCCGCCGTCGCCCGCCTCCTGGCCGCCGCCCTCGCCCGCCAGGTTGGCGCAGGCCATGTGGGCGCAGCTGCGGGTGGCCGCCGCCTGCGCCAGCTCCAGCCGTGCGGCCGCGCCCTGGCCCGTCTGCTGCCATCCCTGCTGCATCAGCGCGGCCAGCGCTGCGGCTGGCTGCAGCAGCGGGTGCCAGTGCGGTACCGCCTCCGATGGCGTGATGCCGCCCACCGGCAGGGAGATGCGCATGCTCTGCGTCAGCACATCCCTCGCATCCTGCAGCGCCTGCAGCGCTGCGCCCAGCCGCTGTGCCAGGCTCCCGGCTGCGCCGTTGTCAACCCCCGCCGCGCCGCTGCTCCCAGCACCGTCCAGCAGCGCGGCGCGTGTTGCCTCGGCAGCCTTCAGCAGTGCCGCCACCACCTGGCCAAACGCCTCCAGGCACAGGAGCGCCTGCAAGACAGCATGGGTCGGGACGGTCGGGTGGCGGCAAGGGAGTGGCTCAACACTCAGCAGGCAAACATCCAGCTGCTCCCGTTATGCCAGGTGCTGCTGTCGAAACAAGAGGCCAGCACACCACGCAGCATCATAATGTCGTCCGTGTGAGCAGGCAGCAGGAGCGCACATTCATGTACTCGGGGCCGCCGCTGGCCACAGGCCCGCCGCGGGGCAGCAGGCGGGCGTCCCGCGCCATTGATGCCAGCATTCCAGAGGCGGCCACCGCGATGGCCACCTGCGGCTGCTTGGAGGCCGTGTGGGCCAGGGCGGAGTAGGCGCCGCTCTTGTAGCGGGCATCGCTGTCGCGCAGCCCGCTCTGCAGCAGGCAGGCAGGAAAGCATGCCGCGGACAGGAGGCGGGCAGGCGGCAGCAAGGTTACAGCGCCATGCCAGGCAGAGGGTTGGCAGACGCACGCAGGGCAGCTCCCGCTGGGGGATGTAACGCAGCAGGCAAGCGGGCAGGGTGGGTTGCAGTCCCCAAGCAGCAGCGGGGCTGAGCTGGCAGCAGGCGGGGCGCAGTCCAGCCCGCCAGCCCCGCTCACCCCTGGTGGATAGGTGGCATCCAGCGCAGCGCAGAGGCCGGCCAAGAAGGGAGCGTCGGCCAGCTGCCAGCAGTCCAGCACGCTCAGCATCAGGCTCGACACCAGCGACCGCAGCCCAGGGCTGGCGCCGCGTGCCGCCCGGCGCCGGGCAGCCGCTCCCCGGCGCGGCGTGCCCGCCGCCTGCAGCACGCCCGCCTGCCACACCGCCAGCAGCGCGGTGGCGTGCGCAGCGCAGAGCGCGTCGAGCAGAAGGGGCATGCTGCAGTGGCAGAGAGGGGGAGGGGGAGGGTGGGCGCTGGACCAGCCGAGGCTCAGGCTCAGGGTGCCCCGCCGAAACATGCGGGCGCGC